CATTCTCTATCCGACTCTGTACCAGGCAATAGTTACCCCAGTTGTTTGCAGTTGCTAATCATTCTTTTCATGTGTTTTCTTCATTCCCGATGCATTTTGTTCTCTTCTCTTCCTCTTTCCCGTTTCCCTTCAGGATTCCAAATTAACGCCTGCATCATGATGAAGTTCGATGATTTCCGTAATCCATGTCCTACCCACTTTCAGTGTCTTTTTCTAGTTTCCTCATCAACTGGAAGCTGGTTTATTTTCTCCCATAGTGGCCTGTTTCTGATGGTATCTGGTCAACGGACATTGTGTGTCTTGAGTAGACAATTGTTAATAAATACTAGTAACTTATTGATGATAGTTGTGGTAGGTACGTGAGAGTTTCCACCTGTTCTTGGGTTTCTCCACCAAGTTTGATTGGGTTGGTTAGTGTTCTCCGTGTTATATATGAGGATGTTGCTTTGTCCCTTGTGTTTGTTTAGACCTATTGCTGTGGAGGCTTCCGCCACACTGGTTGTGTTGATCTGCGTTTGTTGGTATGTATGAGAAAGAAGGACTAAGTCCAAATCATCTAGTTGCATGCAATCTGTCCATTGTATTACGTGCTCCCCCCTATATATGTAGGTCTACATAATCCAGTCAAACATCAGAAGAAAGAGAACGGAAGAGAGTAAGCAGTCTTGTCTGACTGCGGTCCTCACTTGAATATGTCTGTCAGCTGTCCTCCATGTACCGATTTGCAGTGTAGTCCGTCGTGTGGATTCGGTATGATGTTGATGATCTTCTCAGTTACCCACTACATAGTGTTGATGAGGGTTGTACCAGGTCCTCCTATCCACACCATCAAACGCTTTCTCATAGTCAAGGAAGTTGATGTATAGTGACGAGTCCCATTCAATTCATTGTTGAACGATTATCTGTAGTGTGGTGATTTGATCTGTGCACGGCCGATCCTCACGAAATCCAGTCTGTTGATCTCGAAGTTGAGCGTCCACTGAATCTTTCATTCGGTTCTACAACACTGTTGAAATTTCCTCGTATTGATAGTAGTTTAATGCCTCTGTAGTTCTCACAATCGCTCAAATCTCCTTTCTTTGGTATCTTAATGAAATATCCTTTTTCCCAGTCTGTCTGTGGTACTTGTTCTTCCCCTAAAATCTTCTTAAATAGAACGTGGATCATGTTTGCTGTTACTCCTATATGTGAATTCAGTGCTTCAGCTGGTATGTTGTCAAGTCCTACTGTTTTCCCACTCTTGATTTTTCTGATGACCATAATGGATCCATTTGATCGTTGGTGGAGTGACATATATAGGAAGGTCTGTAGGTGTTGCTTCGATGTTCGGTGGATTCAGTGGAGCTGGTTTATTCAAGAATTCCTCAACGTGCTCCACCCATATGTTCTACTGTCCCTGGACTCTAGTGATTGCCTTGTCTTCTTTATCTTTGACTTGTCTTTCTAGTTTACTATATTCCCCTGCTAGTTTATTCGTTGTGTCATATAGTTGTTTCACATTTCCTTCTGTTGCCGCTTTTTCCCATGTCGTTGTTAGTTCTTCCACATATTTCTGCTTGTCGGTTCAAATGCTCTTCTTCACTTGCTTGTTTGCTTCTGTGTATTCAGTTTGTGCCTTGGCTTTCTCTGTTCTTGTTCGGCTGTTGTTAATTGTTGTCTTCTTGTTTTTCCTCTCTTGAATCTTGTCTAGGGTTTTGATAGAGATCCATTCCCTATGATGATGTTTGTTGCGACCCAGAAGCTCCTGACATCTTGGAGTTAATGCTTCATTGGTCACTTTTCCAATTATCCTCCATTCTGACAGTCACTTCATGCCTTCCCGTGTTATCTTCATACACGGTGTTGTTAATTCCCATCAGGATGATCAGGTCTTTTCCTAAGCACTTTTTCACGATCGATGGCAGCCTCTCATAAAATTGATCTCCATCATCGTCTTTGCTACTATTGGTAGGTGCATGACACTGGATAAAATTCATTGTGCTTCCCTCCCTGTTTGCTTAGTAGGATGCTTTGATGATCCTGAGTCGATGGGATTCTCATCCTATAAGTGTTTTACGCGCAACTCTAGACAGCATCGGAGGATTTTCTTCTTCGTAACAAGAGTACAGCAGCATCTCTCCCGAATCTAATGTTTTCTGCCCAGCTTGGGTGCAATGTGTTCCACTTATTCGGTGAACCGCCAAGTTGTATCTCTTTATTCCTGTTACTATTTGACTGAAAAACCCTGTGTTCCACATTGTTTGTACGTTCTGTGTACCTGTTGCTCTGGTTGCTAGAAGAGACATCCGCTCCGTCAATTTCGAAAAATCTCGGTTATCATCATGAGGCGTCATGATTCGTCCTTCAACTTGGAGGTCAGAGTTTAAACGGTTTAAGTTATACAAACATGTACACAATTTGTAAACTTTTCTAATTTTACACCTCTTCAATTCAGTATCAACTTGTTTACGTGAATGTTTTCCATGTTATTAGAGTATAATAACTTACAACATTTGTCTATTAATATTATAAGATATTTTAATGCATTATAGAAACGGATAGAAATTCATTGACCTTAACTATTCTCTTTACCAGACATCATTCATTTCACAGTCGCCATATTCATCAAAGTAATCAAGAAATTCCAGTTCTTAATATGAAATCATTCAATAAGAGAACTAGACAGTCAGGTGATTCATAACTCATTATATAAAGCATAAAACATAACAATCTGAATTCACACATCATTGATACATGTCTGATACTCTTCATTTTAACTTCTTGTTATGGTTGTGTTTTATGAAACTTATATACTCTAACCACCATTCAACAATTGGGATCATAAATATTGATGAAATTGATGAAACATTTTCACAAGTAATCATAATCATAATTCCAATCAATAATCTGTGTAATTAGACAGATCACTATTATTACACAGAATTAATACGATTCAATCAATCATGTCCAGTCATATTTGATCATATGAATAAACCGATTAATTTATCTAGACCAAGGGTAATGTATAATCTAATCAATATTTTTCAGCCATTTATGCCTCTATTCCCATTTATATATTTTGGTGAACAATTTCGTTTGGTTACAATATTTTCACAGGGTAAGTGATTAATGATAACAATTTGTACATTGTAACTGATTGTGTGCAATATTATCAAGGTGGTGGAAATGATCAGTGCATTTATTCGGTCAGTGATTATTCAATGACACCCTTTATCTGATATAATGATCTGAAAGTACACAATTGATCATACAATTTATGAGATTGTAGTGACCTTCTTTTATGAAGATGACGTGATTGGTGTAATGAAAACAATCATTATTTTAACCAACTGTACCAGTGATTGTTTTACTGTACGTTTTCGTTTAATTGTATGAAAACACATAGTTTTCCGTTGTTTGTGATCTTGACCACACTCACGTTCGGTCGTTAGTCTCACTTGTAGATTTCTGCACGATCTCGGTATTATTTCGATACCACGAGATCGCGAACAATTAGATCCTAACTACAATCTGATATTTGTCGTACGGATGTGTTTAACCTGATAAGTGGCACGTAATCGATCTGTAGTGGTTATTATGATGAACTGCGACTCAACACAACTACAGGATAAAGACAGACTACCTTCAATTAGGATATAACGAAAACGTTTTTGAAGTTTATAGGAGATACATTTTGGAAATCATCGAACTGCATCACGATGAAAACGGTGAGTTTAAACACTGAATGGAATACTAGATAACTCTTTGCGTCTGGAAGTGGAAGTGTACATCGAAACGATGAATAATAATTCTAAACAACTGTCACGGTGAGATGAAGGCAGTGTTGAACGGCGAATTCTTGTTTGCGGTTCATTCGGCTTCACGATAGATAACTTGTGTTAGTAATTATTTAATGATTATTCGTGAACTACTTGTAGCGTCGTGTCGAGTCGCGGTTGACTATGAACACCGCTATAAAGGATCGCGTGCCAAGTAAATCAGAAGGCGAAGTGTGAACGTCACCAAAGAAATCCATAAAATCCCCGAGAAGCCAAGTATCAGATGGCTGTTAATGGACCAAGTCTAGATATATTTGCTGGCAATCTCGTGGTATCGAAAGGATACCGAGATCGTGCCAGGATACAAGCTTGGTTACAGAACGTATCCGAATTCGCGCAAAGTCACAATCAAAGTGTAAGAATAAGAATGGAAGCACAATATAGCTGTCATTAGCACAGTCAAACAAAAGCACCTAAAACAAACACTGGTACAATTGGTTATAATAATAATAATAATTGTTTTTATTAAACCAGTCAAATGATTTTTCAATAACACTCAATAATTACGTCATTATTAATCAATAACGTACTTGTATCTAGTTGGTTAGTTACTAGTGTAAAATAGTAGTTTATTACTAAAGTTCCAAAGATGACCTGACAATTATCTGGTATAAAATCAATGAAATTTGTAAATGAAGCTCATAAATACTTTATTTCATAGACAATATTTGATCATTTTCTGAACTTTGAAAGAATAACAAAATTGTAGTGTTCATTTATAAGTTTTTTCTGGTTAGCGTTTTTTTAGCGAGTTAAGAAAACGCTAACTGTCAATACAAATGTCAAGACAGTTCTACTGTATGGGGCGGAAACCTGCAGAACTACGAAAGCCATCATCCAGAACATACAGGTGTTTATTAATAGTTGTCTACACAAAATACTTCGAATCCGTTGGCCAGACACTATTAGCAACAACCTATTTACTATGGGAGAGAACAAACCAGATTCCAGTGGAGGAAGAAATGAGGAAGAAGCTGTGGAAGTGGATAGGACACACATTGACGAATGCACCAAAATGCGTCACAGAGCAAGCCCTCATATGGAGTACTCAAGGCGAAAGGAGAGGAGGAAGACCAAAGAACACATTACACCGGGAAATGGAAATAGACATGATAAAAATGAACAAGAATTGAATGAAACTAGAAGAGAAGGCCCAGGACAGAGTGGATTGTGGAATCCTGAATGGCGGCTTATACTCCATTAAGAGTAACAGGAGTAAGTAAGTAAGTAAGTGTTCAGTTAGGCTATAAACTACGAGACGATCTATTTCACATATACACGTTTCATTAATTGAAACAAATCAGATTATATTCACAATTGAATGACATCAGTGTCAATTGTTTAAAGGTTAATTTTTGTAAAACTATTACTAGTTAAGAATAATTTTTATCGTTATTTTATCAAATAAGGTGTTTTGGGCATCGGACCTGGAACTGAGAAACCAGATTCAGGAAATATAATCCATACTTTTGATGGAGAAGACGAATACAATGAAGTACAAGTAAAGGATTCTAGTGAGATTTACCATTTCGTTACATTATCTTATATTTTGTTTTAGAACGTTATTGTCATATGAATTTTCAGTGATAAATTAAGTAATTACAAATAGATCGAAATCATGAGTCAGTTGAAGCTAGACCACCACTGAAAACCTGGAAGCAGTAGACGGCCGTTTCGTCCTAGTATGGGACTCCTCAGCAGTGCGCATCCACGAAACGGCCGTCCAGTGCTTCCAGGTTTTCAATGATGGTCTAGCTTCAACTGACTCATGATTTCGATCTGTGAAAATTGCTAAAAATCTAAACAAGCCCCTTCTGATAATTACGAATAATTAATTTCTATATTGTGATTTGATGATAGCTGTTGTCATAAATCTATATGAGCTGGAGAACTGTCTTACAAATGAAGGAGTATTGGAAAGATGTATCTCCCATGTTTTAGGGCTCCTCAACATTTCTCACCTATAAGCAACCAATAATCGAACACAGGAACTTTGGTTCTGCAAAATGAGGGATTTATGCTTGATTAGTTGAGTTGCAATTCAGCAATTACTTACTTACTTACCTTTGTTACTCTTAATGGAGCACAAGCCACCGACCAGCATTCTCCAACCCACTCTGTCCTGGGCCTTCTCTTCTAGTTTCATTCAATTCTTGTTCATTTTTATCATGTCTATTTCCATTTCCCGGTGTAATGTGTTCTTTGGTCTTCCTCCTCTCCTTTCGCCTTGAGTACTCCATATGAGGGCTTGCTCTGTGACGCATTTTGATGCATTCGTCAATGTGTGTCCTATCCACTTCCACAGCTTCTTCCTCATTTCTTCCTCCACTGGAATCTGGTTTGTTCTCTCCCATAGTAAATAGGTTGTTGCTAATAGTGTCTGGCCAACGGATTCGAAGTATTTTGTGTAGACAACTATTAATAAACACCTGTATGTTCTGGATGATGGCTTTCGTAGTTCTGCAGGTTTCCACCTCATACAGTAGAACTGTCTTGATATTTGTATTGAAAATTCTGACCTTGATGTTGGTTGACAGTTGTTTTGAGTTCCAGATATTCTTCATTTGTAGATATTCTGCTCTTGCTTTGCCAATCCGCGCCTTTACATCTGCATGAACAATATACATTTATAACTTCGATAAAAGTGTACTAAAATAAGAAAGTAGGTAAAAGACTTACTTACAATATGATAAAAGTTCATCATTTACAATTTCTTACTGGGAATTCGGAAATCTATCTCGAAAATTGTCAATAATGAGCTGACAATTGATATATCGATTATTATTCATTGTGATACTCTGTGATGTGTACTACTGATGTCAATAAATATAAGTAGTATGTATCGTCTATCGAAAGTGAAATGTTTATAGGCAAAATGTTAAGACCAAAGAAAAAAAAAGATCAAGGACATGAAATGATTACTGTTGAAATGAAAGAACAATAAAATCTGAGACGATTGATTGATATTTTGCAGAATAAAGTATTTACTGTATGGTTCTTAGATTTGACTAAGAGATTCCTCATTTATGTTCTCATTCAATACAATTTCAGTTTCAATCTTTTCAGTTGGTTTATAGTTTCTTAAGCTATAACATTAAATACACATAGATTACATACAGTTGAATGTCTTTTGTATTCCAGATGAATTCTCTGCAGTGAAATGGCTTCGTTTGAATACTCAATATTCAAATAAATATCAAATCAAAGATCATGGTATTTTATTCAATGTAAAATTGTATATAAAAAAAGGTTCATAATTTATTATCCAATATGGTTTGATTTCATTTCATTAATAGAGAGAAAAATTCTTAGAATTTAATAATGTAAACTTGAAAAGTTAAGCCAAAATGAGAAAAATTAGTTGACATGATGATTGGAAACGATGTTGACTACCTCTAACCACTATGTTATCTTTGAGATGGTGGAGAAGATTTGTAGCTCAGATGGATAATTTTGATGGAATTTTGTTCTATGAGCTGGAGGGTTTGGCCAAATTACTCAATGTCAAGTCATCTAGACTAGTAGTCACATTACAACTAAATCGATAATATTCTATCTACATTACGAAGGACCTGACATATATGACATTGATTGTCACCTAATAATCAATCGATTGTGAGAAAAGTAGTTAAGTAACTATGACAACATACATAAACAGGTCAAAATAGAGTATTGAGATAAATATGAAATAACTTTAGAAGTTAGACCACCATGAAAAACCTGGAAGCACTGGATGGGACTCCTCGGCAGTGCGCATCCACGAATTTGCGCCAGGCGCTTAACCAACTAGACCACTGAGCCGGAATCCAGCGGTGTTAATGCCTAACTTCAACTAAACCACGAAATTGAGTGACACATTCACCATTGTCGTCAGTGAGTTACTATCTCACAACTGACCCGGTTGAACTTCACTGGTCACTGCTTCTTACTAGAACTTGTTATTTCCAAATGGAATATGTTAATGTTCAACAAAAATTGAACAAATCGTTGAAGAGTCTTTTGTAAAAAAGTATAAGAATAGCGAGTTTTCAATTAGTTGAATGATATCAATAATGAATAAGTAAGAAAAGTTAGTTAAACATCATAAGGTATTTGAGAGGTATAGTTTATTAGGGAATTTGTATTCACATTAGAATAAGAATATCATAGTTTTAAACAAAATATTTTATATAGAATTATGAAAAATGTACAGATTAAAGGAAGTTTGAATGGGATTATGATTTTAAAGTCATCTCTTAACACCTACCCACTTCCTTGAAATGATCTGGAATAAAGAATCCGGTGCAAATTATTGATTGCGTGAAAATGGTAAACATGATGCTAAGCACAATCAAATACTCAGTATGAGATAGTTATTTGAAATAGCTACATCATTGATTTCCAATGATTGTAATGATTTAAGTCATAAGCTATATAAACAAAGATGGATAGTGGCTAGTAGTGGAATACAGGATGCTCGTTTCGTCCTATTCAAGACTCGTCAGCTGGATGTACCTGCATTTCAGAGTTGATGTTCACTCTGAGATTCGAACCCATTATCGTTCCCTTCAAATGCACTCAACTACTGAGCCCTAATAGCCACCTGCTTATCCAACGAGGTGAAGTATTGGGTATTGGATACAATACAAACAATATCAATTAACTTGTATTGATTTGCCTAATATAGTTAGTTACCTATCAAATGATTGTTTAAACATGATGATAAGAAGTGTAACAGTTAGAAATGATTAGAAATTGTTTAACCATTTTAATGAATCACAATTACTTCAATGTTAGTCATTCAGTTAGCTTGTAATTTGTATCATTCATTCAATTTCAAATGATCATACTGTTTGATATCACTTTGCTTTAAAAAGATTGTACATCTAATTGTCTTTATTCAAAGTAATACATAAATATTATTGCTGTATATATTTCTAATGAATGAAAACTACCATTTTTCATATTTTGCATTTTTCAGTTCAGATTGTCTGTGTTATTTATTCTAATGGAAATATATCGATTTATTATGAAAAGGTATGTTAATAGTTAGTTATAAAGTCTTTCTATTCGTTGACTTGAATTGGCAACATTCCAATTTGTTCTACTAAGGTGTATAATATAAAGTGTTATATTATCATCATTGTAGATATTTACTTTGTTATATGAAGTTATTCTCATGTATGTATCAAATTCTACTTACTTACTTACTTACTTACTTACTTACTTACTTACTTACTTACATACGCCTGTTACTCCTTGTGAAGGAGCATAGACTGCTCATCAGCATTCTCCATTCAATCCTGTCTTGAACAATCCTTTCCACCTCTTTTCGGTTGTTATCCATCCTTTTCATATGTGCTTCTATTTCCCGACTTAATGTGTTCTTTGGCCCTCCTATTTTCCGCATCCCTTCAGGATTCCAAGTTAGGGCTTGTCTCGTGATGCAGTTTGACGATTTGCGTAATGTATGTCCTATCCATTTCCATCGTCTTTTCCTAATTTCTTCTTCAGCTGGAAGTTGGTTTGTTCTCTTCCACAGAAGGCTGTTGCTGATGGTATCCAGCCAATGGATGTTGAGTATATTGCGTAGTCAACTATTTATGAGTACTTGTACATTCTTGATGATGGTTGTAATAGTTCTCTAAGTTTCAGCTCCTCATAGCAGAACTATGTTGACGTTGGTATTGAAGATTCTCACTTTGATATCATATTGTATTGAACATTACTTTCCAGATACCCAATGAGATTGAAACGAATTCATCTGTTAAGTTGATCTATGAACCACCTAATGAAGGTAATCCTACCAAATTGTAATAATAATTTCTTATTGTGTTCTACATTTGATTAAACTTATCACTCTGAAATTGATGAGATATCAACTTCCGTAATCAATGAAGGTCCAAGTAAACTGCTGATATTCCAAAACGAGATGGTTATACAAGAGATTTCGAAACAATGTGACTATGTTAAAATGAATTGAAATACATCATTTCACAGCGCTCGTCGTCATTCTGTCACATATACAAAATTATATCGTTTTAGATTGTATTTCATACATGTGGTTTTATGGAGGTTCAGCTGAATTTGTAGGTTCCACTTAATCATAAAATACCATTCACTTGACAACTATTAGGAAATACATAACAACGAACAGACGACATTTTTAACAACAGCGGTTTATTATCATCGTCTAGATGTCACAAGAATCACAATTGGCTTCCAAATCCCTACATTCGACAAGCGTAAAACTCCAACTTAAGTGTATTGTAATGGAAGCTCGTATATATACACTTTCTTAATACTGAAGCTTGTGATGTGAAATGTTTTCAAGTGTACTACTGATATCAGTAGGCTGACAACAAGTGAGTTCATTCTAGTGTATGTTATTTTTGTAAATAAAAGTTTAAGAAACTCAACAGAAACATAATCTTGACCATTTTTTGCAATGAATCCATTATTATCTGTTTATAAAAGGCAACTAATTCACTTGACACTGGGTTATCACTCACTTGTTTTCAACTTCTCATAGATGATCATTACAGGAAAAAAGAAATACTTTCCACATATCTGGTGAAATCTGGGATGTTGGTCGAGTTTACTCCTATTTCAAGTGCGTAAGAAAGTTATTTTAACTGATTACTGGACATATTTTCTATTTGTTATTCATCCCTTCTATCGTTTCTCAGTGTGAAATGATGAAAAAGTATCTTGTGATGTATAGAATTATTATTTGTTGACTAGATCTCAGATAAAATAATGTTTCCCTCTCAATTATGTACTGTTCAGAAACATTTCATTGTGCGACAACCTCTGAAATGAACGATTTCCTTCCATTGACAGTTATCCTCGAAGTTCAGTTATATTGTCAAGCATAATGATTGACCAGCTTTAATATAATGATTCATCAAGCATCTTGTGTGATCTAGCTGATTACGTTCATGTACAATTTGGGCATGTTTCGATATCTGTTACCAGTCTTTTAATGGATGTTTATCGAGATAACCCCTATACTTCGCATATCATTCGTCCTGATAACCTCCTTTAACATATTTGAATGTTTAACATCCCAAGTATCGGTGGGAATGTTCTATTGTAATCCCTCCGGAAAACGAAATACCAAACAGTGTGTATGTGTTTTGAAAAAAGTATTAAAATTAATAAACTAACTCTAATACATGGTTATGTAAAATCAAAATGTTATTAACACAGATCAATCGAGTAACTCTGATCATATCTTGTCGTTATTTGACTCGTTTCACCTTTTTTTTTCTCATTTTTGTCAGTAATGTGATGGTTCTAGAGGAATCTAGGCTTGTCATTTGATTATCGTTTAAATATAAAACTGAACAAAATAACTGTAGCTGGTATTTAAGTCAGTAAGTAGGATATTTGGGTCGTCTGCAATACAAGATCAAGAGAATTTCCACTGACATCCATGACACTGTCTATTGAACACGTTAATCAAAGGGCTCAACAAACGTCAGCGTGTACAAACTCAAGTATAAGTGAAGGTTCTATAAGCTCATACATAAATCAGCTTATTATTTCGCCTCTCTAACTAAAAAAAGTCACAGATTTCATCAATCCATTACTGAAATGCTTCAATGACATTTGACTTATTAGTGAATAATATACATGACATAACAACGACACCTACAGCTTAGTTTGATGGAAGTGATTTGAAGACATTTTCCGGTGGAAGATTTGATTTTAAGATTGGGTGAATGGTTGGTAATTATAATTACTGCTTATTAATAAGTAGAATGATGACCATGAATGACGATATCTATTTTCCACATTTGATGTGATGTATTATTGACAGTTACATTATGACACCTTATTTATTTTCCAGTACACACTTTAAATTGTCAAGCGACTTGATCGGGCAGCAGTAGGTCTCAATATACACAAAAGGAAAAGCAAGATTCTCCGATACAACACATGTAACAATCAAATCACAATTGACGAAGAAGATTTAGATGTAAAAACCTTTACATATTACTGCAGCATCATTGATGAACACGGTGAATCTGATGCAGATGTGAAGGCGCGGATTGGCAAAGCAAGAGCAGAATATCTACAAATGAAGAATATCTGGAACTGAAAACAATCGTCAACAAACACCAAGGTCAGAATTTTCAATACAAGTATCAAGACAGTTCTACTGTATGAGGTGGAAACCTGCAGAACTACGAAAGCCATCATCCAGAACATACAGGTGTTCATTAACAGTTGTCTACACAAAATACTTCGAATCCGTTGGCCAGACACTATTAGCAACAACCTACTTACTATGGGAGAGAAAAAACCAGATCTCAGCGGAGGAAGAAATGAAGAAGGAGCTGTGGAAGTGGATAGGACACACATTGACGAATGTACCAAAATGCGTCACAGAGCAAGCCCTCATATGGAGTACTCAAGGCGAAAGGAGAGGAGGAATACCAAAGAACACATTACGCCGAGAAATGGAGATAGACATGAGAAAAATGAACAAGAATTGAATGAAACTAGAAGAGAAGGCCCAGGACAGAGTGGATTGTGGAATCCTGGTCGGCGGCTTATGCTCCATTAAGAGTAACAGGCGTAAGTAAGTAAGTAGATAAGTCGATTCGGCATCATTGTGACGTATCTCTGCTATCCATGAAATCGCTTATAGTTGAATTAGTGCATACTTACAGATATCTCTTTATCTTGTCATTGAAGATTGTAGTGAATGCAAATTTTGTGAAGACTGTACTAAAGATTATACATCTGGAAGAAAGTGCCATTGGTGTCCGAAATTCAACACGTGCAGACACCTTCGTGATATCGATATTCAAACCTTGCTTGGAAAAGATTGTGCTATCCAAGTAAATTTAATCTCATTGAATCTCAATGAATACATATAATTTCTGTTCAGTTCTTTTACTTACTATACATGGATTTTACTAAATAACATTTTGTGTCATTGGGCTGTAATATACTGGTCTACTAAGCAATCACCATAAATATTTATTATTCTAATTACTACTGGGTTCCTGAGTTTATTTGTTCTAATACATTTTAATTTCATGCAGTTGGTTCCCTTTATGAATTTTGTTTGTTCTTGCTCTATTTAAACATGTTAATTTACTGTGGATTGTATGTAGAGCTGAAGGTCTCATATGAGACTGGACGTTCGCTATTGGTATTGTGGATGGTTCGGCATTGCTTTGGCAAGTTTTGCTGACTGTTCATGCACAAAATTAGTTTGCTGATTAACCGATTTCATTCATACTGGTGGTTGCTTTACAGTGTTCTCAAGGGCTATTGTCATAGGGACACTGTAAGGCATGTCGTCATTGCCAACATTAATGAGTTTGACTGTCGTACAAACTGAATAGGTCAACTTTGGCCTGTTCGTGCTGTGCATAATTGATTCACGTGATCATTGATCGGAATAACTATACATGTGGCGTGAATGTTTATATGAATGATGCGAATGGTCCACCAGGGTGCTTGGTACCTGTATGGTTGCGCCACAGGATTGAGCTGTGCTATTCAGATTGTAGCGTTAAAGCCTATACGGTGTCCGGCTCTCCTGTTAAACGGAATTGAGCTGTACTGTTTGGGTTGTCACGTGAAAGTTTTGATAGTGTCTAGTTCTCCTGAAAACCAATATAAAATTACCCTGGCCCACAAAGGTATATTATATAACTTATATAACTATTGTTTATCATCATGTATCATTGTAAGATAAGAATATGAGTCAATGGAATAGTCTATTCTTGAACCTCTTGTATATTTCAAAAGTTCGTCTCCTTAGAAATGTTCTGAAATCTTTCACAAATACATTTCATATATTCTACAAAATGAGTTTGAATATGACACTCAAATACTATTAACAAACTAGCTAGTGACAAGTTAAACAAAATATCTTAGAACAAATGTTTTTTTCTTGTTTGTTGTTTTGGATGGTTGTAGAAAGTATACAGAAATCCTTAAATTTAAATATAGTGCTTGTCAATACTCATTAGTAAAAGGTAACAGTTATATCAAAGTAACTGATGTTCTCTTTATGATTCTAAAAAAACTGTCATTATTACGAACATTACCATTAAGCTATTTGGCAAGCCAATGACCTTCTGGACAACTGATTGAATACCACATGGTGACTGACACTTTGTTTAAAGGCATTTTGTCATTATTATCGACCTAGTTCCATCGATCAATTTACAGAGTGATCAGTAGTATAATTCCAGCTTCTTTTCCTAATTTCCTTATTAGTTGGAAGTTAATTTATTCTCTCCCAAAGTAGGTTGCTGCTGATAGCATCCGGTCAACGGATATTCAGCATCGTACGTAGATAATTGTTTATAAATACTAGTACATCTTTAATGATGGTTGTGGTAGTTCTTTTAGTTTCCGCTCCGTACAATTGATCTATTTCGCTGTTCGTATTGAAGATTCTGATTTTAATATTAGCTGATAATTGCTTTGAGTTTGATATGTTGTTCAACTGAAGGAATGCCGTTCCTAGTTTCCTAATTCTTGCTTTTACGTCTGCATCAGATTCTCTTTGTTCATCGATGATCCTTCTGACCAGGTACGTGATAGTTTCAGCTGTTCTTGAGTTTCTCCATCATGTGTGATTTGGTTGGTTGGTGTTATCTATGTTATATTTGAAGATGCTGCTTTGTCCTTTGTGTTTGTTTAGGTCTACTGCTGTAGAGACTTCCGCAACACTGGTTGTATTGACCTGCGTTTGTTGGTATGTCTGAGAAAGAAGGACTAAGTCGAAATCATCTAGTTGCATGCAATCTGTCCATTATATTGCGTACCTCCCCTCATATATGTAGGTCTTCATAATCCAATCAAACATCAAAAGAAAGAGAACGGAAGAGAGTAAGCAGTCTTGTCTGACTGCGGTCCTCACTTGAATGTATCTGTCAGCTCTACTCCACGCACCATTTTTCAGTGTGGTCATTATTTCGCTATGGCATTCTGTTGCGAAATTTACAGTTTTAAAAGAACCATTTTATTTTCTGATATTGTCGCTTACAATTTATGAAGAAATAAAGATATGTCGTGGCTTGACACCGACATAAAAATGAAATCTTTTCATCATATCTTCAATTTACATATGCTAGTATTGTCTTAATAATAGATTAAAAGCACTTTTGTTTTGGTTTAGCAAATAGGAATTTGTTCATATTCAACTAACAGAATGATCGAACATGTTCCAATAGAAGAATCAACCTTTAAACATAACCTTATAACATTGACTTCAAATAGGACTATAATGGAATCAATCACTACTGAAAATATGTCACCTACGCAACCGTTAATTAACACCGATGAGTTAAACAAAATTAACGAATCTTCCGTAAACGATCATCAAACCACTTTCCCACAGGTCACTATATATCAATCATCTAGCAGACCGATTCAAATTACTACTCACATGGTCATAAAAGTTATTGAAAACAATCCAATCACATCCAAACAGCTTCTATTCTCTCGTGATATATTACAGACATATTCAATCATCTTTATTAATGAAGTCACTCGTCGTTTATACATTCGTCTTCTGATGCCATTCATAATCGTGACCATTGTTCCAAGCATTGTATTTTTAGTTTGGCTATTCAGAAAACGACACTAGAATGATATGAAAAACTAAACTTTATATCATATAACTAAAGTGTTTCAACATGCTGAAACTAAACAAATTGACTAACTGAAGAAATACATATGAAATGCTCATTTTTGTTTCTTTCATCTTTTTGTTTTACAACATTCAATTCACTAGTGATTTCATCATTCAGTTTATGATTTGTCAATTGTCAATAATTGTATGAGTTAAATTTCGGACAGAGTTTTAATGTTGCTTGGAAAATATGTACACTAAACATTTCTATATACAGTTCATTGATACGTATTTGAACATTCGAAAATGGTCGAATTGGAATATGACTTTCATTACAAATATAAATATATATTGAGATTTATGTTCTATACAGCCTGAAGAGAACTGGGATTCCTGATTTTAGATTATATCTGGAACACATGTTTCTTAAGGTCTTACCATGTCAGGCAGCTCGACTGGAGAACGATAAGATTAAAGACAGCAACTTAAGGCTCGGTGGCGAAGTCACATTCCCTATTGTAAAGGGATGTGAGAACAGTAATGTGTATTCCTCGGATAAACAACATCTGTAGCGATGCTGCATTCTCACAACGGAAGAAAGGGGTGAAAAAAGGTTGAGCATAAAAATTTCACACCTTACACTACCACATGGATTTCCATCTCCAACAGCAAAGCCTTTTTGAATTGAGCAGCCAACACATTAAAAACTCCCCACAAAAAGACCACGCGCTACCGGCCTCAAGCCGTCGTCCCTTCAGCTTTTTAGTTACGCTACCAGGTCGCTATGAACGCCATTAATTCAGCTTTGAATTCAGGTCCCTCAACAAGAAGTATCTTTACACGATGTCCGCAAACAGGATGTGGCATTCACCCTCATATCAACCGCTATCAACACCCGAATTCATCTTGTTCACAACTGAATCCTTCTCTCTTCACCTCTTAATAATTCTTCTGTCCCAACGACTAATCCTTCTTATTTATCTGAAACCGCACTCTTAACTACATGTTAGAGCTTTAAATGTTCGAACCCCATGTTTGATGAGAAAACAGGCTTCTTTAGCTAGAATTCGACAATCTTGTGCCACCGATGTATGATGCGTTTCCGAGACGCGTATACGGGATCCAAGTACAGTCATTCACTTGACCCCAGCTTGTCAATATAAAGAACCTGGACGGTTTACTCTCCGAATATCTGGGGTCCCCACTGCTACTTCCCGCAGCCTTGTTGTTGCAGACATAGCAGTAAGTTTGAAAGTAACATTGACTCGATCAGACTGGATTACAATAGACAGTGGTTTGTGCGCTGTCAAACTAATCGGGACAGTGGGAACTCGAAAAGATAAGGACACATAGTTGCTTTTTAATTGTCTCTACCTACGCACCAGATAATTGCAGCTAGGACGAAGTTGAAGATGGGTTTTATAGGAAAAAGACAACTTCCAAAAAGCTAAATGCTCTGTCTTTATAATGCTAATGTAGGGAAACAAAGTCAAACCAAAAGGCACTTGGGAGAATCTTACGGTGTGTTCGTATACATAATTTGTGCATACAATGAGTGAATTATTGCTATGGAGTTTACGTACTCTGGAACGTAGAAGTCCTTGAAACTGGGAAGTTTATCTAATGACGTGTTCTGAGATGATCAGATTGTAGCAATACCTGAGTTCTAGGTCCATTGACATATAAAGCTTAGATAACACCTTGCCCTCATTATGAAGTTTGGGTTAGAAAAAGAATTATCAAAACAAATGTCAGTCAGTCAGTTACAACATAGGACTAGGCACGTATATGCATCGGCCCAAGTTGCCACACCTCGTTAACACATCAAGATGAACACCAAATTCATAGAAGTAGTTAATATGATGGTGTTAATACATAAAAGAAAGATTGCATATAAGGATATAGTACCATGTGGTCTGTTTGGTTTGTATATAAACCCAGTATGTTTAAAATACATGATTCATATCACGGAGGCTGAGATTGGTGTTCTGGACTCAACAGACAAGACTAGGTGGGAAGAAGGACCAATAAAGACTCTAGACTGTTCGTACGGGTTTTTATGCCTGATTAGTCCGTTCGATAATTCACTGTTCTCTAATTGGAGTTATAATTACATTATACATTAACAGGGCACAGGGCACAAGTTATAACACAAATATTTACTGCTTTCAACTTCCCAGTAGTAGCTTTTGCCCTATGAATTTCCTTATTTTGTTTAAAAACTATGATCATTCATGAGGTTCTCATAGTACTATTTGCTTTATAGTCTAATCACTGATTTCTATAATAATTCATATTACATAGAGTGTAAAATATATTGAAAGTCAGATGAAGATGAATTCTTCTGAAACTTTCGATACATCAGGATTCATGCATAATAGTTTCTGTAATCGAATTCTTGATGATATGATGGAAAGAAAAGTTAATTTTCGATTGATTTACTGATTATGAGTTTTATTCAAGATTACTCTTGTTTTTGATTCAATGTGATGATCATTTAGTGAAGTATTTGTTCTTCTTTTCTCGTATGATATTTTATTCTCTGTGTGTATGTTGTGTTCCATTGACATGAACTATGCTCAGTATGTGAGTTGTTATTTTTCATATATGTGATTACATTCTAATGATTAATCAAAATGGGTGTACGAATCAATGTAAAAATGAGTGTATTTTCGACTAGCGTTGCCGTCGTCGTCGTCGTCGTGTTTTTTGGGTTAATAAATCATTACTTACATCAGTCTTTGTGTTCTTACTTTCGCGTCGTGGGGATTGCAGAGGTCCCGACATAACAATCAGCGACGACCAAACACAAAAGGTAGCATGAAAAAAGCCAAGACAATAGACATTCAAACGACAAGTTATAACACTTGACTCACTGTAGTTTCATTTCTCATCTATTAGAATAACTTTCATAACACTTTCAAATCACTTAAAACTAAATACATAGAATAATTTTCATTTTGATATTCAATAAACAAAAGAAGGAAGAAAAAAAAGAAAAAAAAAGGGAAAAGTCACTGAAATCGATACTTTCAAAGTGATTATTGAATATTGTTTTATCAATAGGATAGAATATCTGTGAAGAATCTTGTGTTTAAAACTGATCCATAGATGATGGCAATATTTACTTAAGAAATACACTACTACTGAATACTAATTTAAGTAATATTTAAAAAAGTAGTATCCATATAAAAGTAAAATTAGTTGTATAGTATAAATAGTGTATAATAGAAATGATAAATTACATTGTCTTTTCATCTGGATTGTATAAAGTTCCAGTTGAAGTGATTACATTGAATTCTGTAATATAAAATGTGAAGAAAGGCAACAAAATATCTGTGATAACTCAATAAGATTTGATGATTACAATTTAAAGTTGATAGATTAGTAAATAAGAGTACAGTCAGACTAAGATGGATACAAGGACAGTTGTATTTCATAGTTCACAATATGAATTACTATATATAAGCTATCAAATGCTCTGGTATGGCCGAAGGTAGGAAGAGTCAGCTCTTCTTCTCAAAATGTTCTCACATAGCCACGTGCATACAATCACTTCCAGGGAAGTCCTACTCACTACCTTCTCGTGGCATTACTGTTGTTTATCAAATTGAGGGGAAGAAAAGCGAATGTTCGGTGCTTTATTCGGGTTGGCGGACACGCAGAGTTGGATACCCTGATTCCAAACCAATGGTGTATATGGGCTACAGGATCCTGATGGAACAAATGGAGTATGAATCGATCGTTGGTTACCGGCTACCATACTACTGCATCTCCTAACGTTACTCCACTGATTTGTGGATCAGACCTGTAGGTTGAATGCTGCGATTGTGACCTTTAAGAAAACCACCTGCTTCGGTTTTGGCACCCAGGTAGTATCATAGCCCACACATAAAGCGAATGATCTATGCGGCGCTTATCTTTTTGGTGCCTCCTTGTATCAATGTTTATGTGTTTAATTATATATATATCATACGTATGTTACTGTTTGTTTTTTCTACAATCTATTCAAAATTACTAGAGTCAAAATCAACTGAGAATATCTTAAATAATTTTCATTTTATTCAGACAGTTATTACTGACCCATCACTGGCATAACGACATGTTTCTAGTTCAGCAATAACTAATAAATATAAAACTAATACTCTCATCAATATCTTGATTAACGATTGATACAGTAATACTGTGGCCTGAAGTCTCAATCGGTAATAACGCTTAGTTTTTCTTCGTCTTTACAAATGGGACGTTGATTTACCTTAGACGAATATCTACACTAGATTCCATCTCAGTGTCTATTCTACAAGACTTCAACACAAATTAGATCGAGAACATGTGATTAGCTTGACTAGAATATGAATGTATATTTCCACACCAAAAACCGACACAATCTAACAACAATCCATCAATAATAATAAGGGTAATGAGATATATAACTCATCTAGTACCTTTCAGACTATCTACAAGTTTAACTAAGCAAACAACTAATCATTATTATTCTCACCCACACAGAACAATCTCATCAGTGATGAAAATAAAACGGTGGAATTGCTATGTGACATATACATTTGTAGATATTAAAATGGAGAATCTAAGAATTATTCACCTTTATGTGTGAATATGAACACTGAAATCCATTTATATTCAGAGGACGATTGTTAATTAAAATGAAAGTTGAATCCTGTATCCTAGTGCTAACAATAATACAAATTTGTAACTATCATTCGTTGGAGGTTAATCACTGAAATCCCTCTAGGAAACTACTGTTGCCATGTCATTATACTCTTTTTGAATATTCTAAATATCTTAATAAAAACGTTACAATTTAATCACTTCGACTTCTCGTTAGTATAATTAATTCTACAGTACTCATGCTAAAATGTTTAACTTATCAATATATTCCGTTCATTTGACCTTTAATAGATCAATGATGCAAAGTAATACTTTTTAAGCTGCATAACTGGTTTTTGAATGTTCAATGTGACTTAACCTACATAAGTTTTAAATAACGAACGCAT